CTATAACATGACCTGCCAACTCTTGTACTCAATACTCCGTCAAATTAAAATAACAGGCGGCTAGAAGCTCAGGGCCATGTTTGCAGAGTGAATGGAGGCATACTGCAAAGTGGTTATCTGATTTTGTGTTTGGCTTCCTACAGTGGGGAAAGCATTGTCGTAGGCAGTGAATACAGTGTACTAAATTGAGAGAAGCACAAATAAGTGGCAGTTCCACCTTGAAGGAGTGTTTGGATCATTTAGGAAGGGAGAACGTAAAAAGACAAGTGCACATGCACTGAAAGGCTGTTTGGAAGGGAGGGGTGTTGGGATGATTGAAGGCTGTCATGTAAGGAAAACTCCATCTGAATCCTCCAAGAACCATGATGGTGTTTGCCTTGTGCACACCTTCCAACCCCAAGGAGTACACATTCAACAATCACACTGCTAGCACTAGCATGATCTTGATCGAGCTTACCGCAATGCTTTACTTCACCCTCCGCCAGCTCCCACTGGAGTGGAGCTCATCTATAGACAAACAGGAATCTATTCAATTTTGATTGTCTGCAGGCTAGGTCCAAGTTTGGCTCCTCTTCTGTCATTGGACTACAGTACACAAGCAGTGCTTGTGTCTGCACAGACTTGGAGGCCAAGTCATCATCAGCACTTTCACTGAGGCATGCAGCAGCATGGGTTTTATACTAGAAATTTCCTAAACAAAGGATCTCTATCAGTCTGCCACTTTTACACTACTGCATTGCATCCTACGCCCTTTCCCCAACTTCCACCCATTAATAAAATTTATGATGAGACTGGCAAACATCAGTTGCGAGGTTCCATGCCTTTGGTTGCCTGGGGAACAGTGTGTTTAGTGAGCAGGATCTCACTGTTGTTGTTGTTCAGACCAGCATCCCAACATTGAAGCATTTACCACATTCATCAGCAACTCTGACCTAGCCACATTATTTGCTTGCCTGACATGAGACTCCTGAAATAAGCGTCTATTCAAAGCTTCAAAAAAAAAAGGAAACCTGGAAACCAGGAGCGGGAGTAGGCCATTTGGCCCTTTTGAGTCTGCTGCTTCATTCACTATGATCCTGTATCCTAATGCCATATTCATGCTTTTCACACCACACTCCTTAATGCTTTTAACATCGAAATAAAGATAATTTTTTCTTGAAAATGCTTAGTGACCTGGTCTCCACAATCTTTTGTGGTAGCAAATTCCAGAGGTTAGCCACCCTTTGAGTGAAGAAATCATGATCCAAAATTGTATACCTTTGTATCTTGAGACTGTGCTCCCTATTTCTAGACTTCCCAACGAAGGCAAACATCCTCCCTGCATCTCGTCTGTCCAGCCCTGTTAGAATGTTAGACATCTCAATCAACTACCCTTCCATTCCCCTAAACTCCAATTAACCCAGACTCCATCGAACCAATGTCTCCACATATGACAGTCCTGCCATTCCTAGTATCAACCTATTGAACCTTCAGTACACTCCTCCATGGCATGTACATCCTTCCTTAGGAGAGCTCTTGTAGTGCAGCAGTAGTGTGCCTACCTCTGGGCCTTCTGGCCTGTGTTCAAGTCTCACCAGGTCCAGAGCTATGTCATAGAAGTATCTATCCTGTCTTGGGTAGAGAGACCAAAAGTATACACACAACTCCAGGCATGGTTTTACTAAGGTCCTGATAATTGCAGTAGGACATTCCTACTTCTGAACTCCAATCCCCTCCAACATTCTATGTGCCTTCCTAATTAATGCATGTTTATTTTCATTTAATGATTTTCAGACCAAAGTGTATAGCATCGCATTTATCCAAATTATCCTGCATCTGCCATATGTTTGTCCAGACACTCAACTTGTCTAAATTACCCTGAAGCCTCCTTGCGTCCCCCTCACAACTCTCAATCCCACCTAGTTTTGAGTCATCAGCAGACTTGTCAGCCTTTAATTCCATTAATTTCTCTCGCACCTTTTATTTTGCTAGTTTTGATTTTCTTCAATTCCTCCTGCGAACTAGACCCTTGGTTCCCTAACATTTCTAGGAAGTGATTTGTGTCCTGTTTTGTGAAGACTGGATGCTGATTGTGGTGCTATGTGATAAAATGAGCAAACCCCAGATGCACAAGAAATGCTTCAAGGATACTCTCAAAGCATCCTTGAAAAGTGCAAAATTCCATTGACACCTGGAAAACCCTGGCTGAAGTCTGCTGGATGTGGATGGAAGCATCTGGAAAGGTTTTGTACACCTTGAGTCTCATTGTTAACAAGATGAAGTCAAGCATTGCCAGAAATAAAAGCAAATAGTATCCCATCTTCCCACCTGTGACATAGACTGTAGGTCACTCATTAGACTCTTCAGTCACTTAAGGACTTTGTTTTAATGTGAAAGCAAGTCTCCCTTGAAAACTAGGGACAGCCTAAGAGAAGAGATGATGTGGACGAGCTGGTGTTGTACTGGGGTGGACAAAGTCAGAAATTACATGACACCAGGTTATAGTACAACAGGTTTATTTGGAAACACAAGAGAGATACTACCACCAAACAAATCTTCCCATCCCATTCCCTTTCTGCATTCTGGTGGTTCATTCCAACCTCTTCCGTCCTTCAGTTGATCTGAACAGCACCTCCCTTCTCTGACATTTTTCTGTGTGAGCGCAGAAGATATAACACTTGTCCTTTTAGCTTCTTCTTTATCATTGTACAGGGTTCTAAGTGATCCTCCTGGGTGAAATAGTGGTTTATTTCTGATCGTTTGAATTAATATGTGGTGTTCAGTGTTTATGACGGGACTTCCTTTATATTAGAGACACCAAACACATTAACTTGGATGTTTCCATTAGGGGGCCCTGCATTCAGTCTACAAGTGTGCCTTTAGCATTCAGTTATCTGCCTTTTAATTCTCTGCCCTGCTTCTATTTCTTTTCTTGGTCTCCGACAATGTTTCAGTAAAGTTCAACATCCGTTTCAGGTGCAGCCCCTCATCTTCTGGTTAAGTATGTTCCAGCTTTCTAGACTCAATATTCAGTTCAGTCCATAACCATCACTGCCATTTTTTGTTTGCATAGTTGTTGTTGTGAATGATTCTGCAGTTGCCATTTATTCTCATTCTAGATCAAGGTTTGTTTCTTTACTTCTCCCATTATTATTATCTTTTGACTTGCACCATTATCACTTTTGGCAATTAATCTCTCATATGCCCACACTCCCTGAGATCTTTCCTGCCCTTGCTCCTTTTCTTCCATCACTTGCTTAAAATAAATCTTTAGATGAGTACCTGTTAACATCAGTACAGCATGGTGCTGTCAGATATTGGACTGTATTTTTGATGCTGGGTTGGCAACAGAAAGTCAAGTCATTTCCTGGCTTTCCAAATCTGGCCCAGCAGAAAAGTAGGAGGCGGAATTTTTGTTCCAAGGTATTGGGGCTCCCCAGGAGCCAGGCTGGACAACACTGACATGTCCAAAATTTGAAAGCGAAGCATAAGACATCCTACAACAGTCAATCCCCCTTCAAAACATATTGTCCATGCCACCTCATGATCCTATATCCACCATAATCCTTGTGGCGTCCATACTATTATGACACACCAACCTGCTGTCTTGTATTTCATATCATACATGCCAAACAATATCTCTCTGCATACCCCATGCTAAGTGTAAACTCACACCGACACCTACCACTCTTTTTGCTCTTAGACTTACCACGCCAATTCACCCAGTATCCACTAGGGGCAGACCGCAGGAGCCCTGGCTAAGGAAATTAATGTGATGTGTCTACTGCAAACTTTTTTTTTAACAAGCGAGACATTTTTTCAAAGATTTGAAGGGCTGAATTTTGGAATGTCTTGATGCATTTGACCCTTTGTTTTGACAGATCTTTGACAGTTCAAAGAGCTTAACAGTTAATGAGTTTTTTCATGTTTTATGCACATTCATGCCACATTGTGTCAGTTATAAAGGGGTACTTTACTTTTCTGAAAGTTACCCTAGCTATCCAAATGAACGCATAAAGTTAAGACCCCCTCCTACAAATCTGTGCACTTCGTATTTCAGTCACCCAGATCACAAATCTAACCAGAATGGAGGCAGATGTTGATTCCTATGAGCGGCTGCTTCCGCAAATGCACGTGCAAAGAAAAAAGTGACCAGACCCCATTCCTACACCCTCATCCTGTGAAAATGTTAGGGGGTGGGACTTCCAATTTCTGGGCTCATCCACTACTTTTGTGAAGATCCAGAAAATCTTGAGTATCTGTTGGTGCTTCAACAGATGTTTGGAAACAGCCCAATGATTTGAACCCTCGTCAGTGTGGAAATCATATGGATTGACTGTAAAGAATGCTAGTAAATAAGTTACAAAATCGGGAAGGGGCAATTGAGAGCAATACTTGACCATTCAATAGAATCCGAATGTTACAACTCCAAATCATGCTCAGCAATACATTTAGAATCCAGCTGAGGTCTCTGTCGTTCAGATTACCCATTTCGTGACTAATTTTTTTGAGCTTTGTTAT